CAGGGCGGGCAGCCTTCAGCCCCAGCGGAGAGCTGAGCCCGCAGCCGGGAGGTTGACGGGGGGCTCCCGGGCCAGCTGGGCCTCCTCTGCCGGCTCTAACCCGTGGTTTTAGGGCTCCCTCCAAGGGCCGGGGGAGGGCGGGCTTAGCCCCTCGGGCAGGGGAGGGAGTGGGAGACCGCTGCAGACTCCCCCACCCCCGCCCGCAGACTGGTGTCCTTCTCCTGGACGCAGTGGGACCGTCCAGCGCAGCCCCTGGCCTGGACAGTCTCAGGGCGAGTGCCCGGTGCTGCTGGTGGCTGCTGGCCTTGCCGGCACTTCCTCTGCTTCGGGCATCCTGCTAAGGCTCCCCCCGTTAACTGCTTAACCCCCCACGGCCACCTCAGACGTGAGGCCCCTGTGCAGATAAGGCAGCCCTCCATCTAGGCCGTGCTGCGCAGAGGCAGCCTGTCCCCCCACCCCAACCCCTCCACCAGGATGCGAAGCCAAGCAGGGTTTTCCGAGAGATGGATGACTTCGCCTCTCAGGACCTGAGAGAGGAGTCATCCGCCCGTTTGTCCGTTTATGCCTTTGGGCCGCTCCCCAGGCCAAGCCGTGTTGGTGGGGTGGGGGTGCAGGTGATGAGCGAGTGCCGCGGCGTCCCGCCTGGGGCGGTGAGAGCCAGACGCCCGTCCACCCCGGGGCTGAGGGCCCAGCCTGAGGCAGGGAGGCAGGGTGCCAGGGTGCGTGCCGTTCAGAAGGGAGGGGGCTCTGCAGAGACATGAGTGTGGGTCCAGGCACAGAAGGCAGGCGGGCAGGCGGGCGCGGGGTGGGGACGGCGCCCCGGTGAGGGGTTGGCCTGAGCGAAGGTGTGGAGGCAGAAGAGCCGCGGGCGTCCACCCGCCACCTGCACCTTCTGCGTCTGTCTCCGTGGGGGGCGCTCATCGCAGGTCGGGTGTGGACGCTGCCGGCTGGGTTAGGGCGTTGGCGAGAGCGGGCGTCCCACTGGGAGATGTGTCGGCGATGCAGACCAGCAGGGGTCCCACCCAGCCCCGGACCTTGACACCCTTGGGGCCATGGCACCTTTGGGCTTGTCCTTCCAGGCGGCCAAAGGACCTCAGCGGCGGGGAGGCCCTGCACGGGACACTGGGCCATCTTAGTGGGCGCTGGCCTCCCGGCGGCAGGGAGAGGGCTGTTGCTGGTGCGAGATGGCCCCTAATAGCACCCCCCAGTTCCCATCCAGTTCGGAGGGCCTGCTGTCCCCCAGGGGCAGCCCAGAGGCCCCTCCCCGGGGTCATAGGAACAATGAGAGTGCTGTGAGGGGCCCCCTCCCGACGGGACCCTCAGGGAACCCCACCCGGAAGCCCCAGGGCCGCCGTGGGATGAAAGCGCGGTCCGGGGCTCCCGTGGGCAGCCGCGTTCCCATGAGATTCCCAGAAGCCCACTTGCGTTTGCTTCCTTCCAGTCGCAGTAGACGCCAGCCGCCCTGGACGCAACGTCCGGTCCGCTTGGTCTGTCGCGCC